ATTATCTTACAATACATGTGGGCTATTCAGGAATTTTTATCATTGAAACTATAGGTTTATGGTAACTGAAATAAGAAACATATCATCTAAATATCATATCATCATATGTGTGGGCGAGGTAGGTCGCTGGTGTCGTCAGGGGGTAAATCAAATAGTAGAAATTCGGTGAGCGCTTATACATCCGCGACATCCGCGTCCCCGTATAATGTCTAAGTGCAACTGACTAGGCTCGCGCCAACGGTCAAAACCAACGGCTGTGCAACAAACTATGTACTGCTCTACCTTACACGTACTTTTAAAATATGATAAAACCTAAGCGCGCGAAATACAAATCACCGCCCTCGTATTTATACAACATTTTATTAATTTAAATTCAAACACAAGTTCATAAAGGTGACAAAACGTATATAACTTAAAGGTAAGTAATTATATATAATATATGACAGTAGTAATTGTGACGCTAAATAAAATCAAATGTTTACATAAACTAATTATAATTATTTTATATTCCAGGTTGAGCAGCGTGGCCGTCATCAACAATGTGATAATATAATATTACAATATCCATCCGTGCGAACTTCGTACAGTCGTACCAGATATACATACACGTTAAGCGAACGCTCGGCCAAGCTACATGGTACGCGGAGGGGTGTTAGGTTTTATTTTCGTTACGGAATTTCTTGATTCAGTCGCCGCGCTCAAAGCCCGCGATAAAAGCTATGCAATAGCTTAAAAACTTGTTTAAAAATTTAATAGCACGTTCGGTGCACGAGGCAACTGTGAACTTCCAACGATTTTTAAAGAATTGGTTTTTATGTATGTCACGCCAGCCGGTTCGGAGCTGCATACGCACTATTTTATTTCAATTAGCATTTATTTGTTCTATGCAAAAGGCGAAATAAATTATTATCCATCTCACGAACAGAGGTTACGCGGAATAGAATACATCGGACCAAAACAGATTTGCAACTTCACTACAGGGCGCCGTAAAAATTATTTTAAGCGACAACGCGTAACACCAAAGGTGGCGGACCTTTGGTGTTACGCGTACACACCTCAAATAAGGACCGAATTTTCATTCGTAACAATCGAAGAGGAGAATTTTATTAATGTACATATTGTAACACAATGACATTAGAAATATCTTTCCTTTCCGCCAGTACTTGAAAGTTTAGGGCAATTATTACTCCTGAACAACCGTAATGAAGCTGACCATTTTACATTTGTGGAGCAAGTGGAGTCCAAATACTGTTCACTTCACTACAAAATACTTTCAACATTTGGTACTGGGATTTATTTTATTGGTATTATTGTCACGGTATTGTTTATTATTCTATTTACATTATATATTAGTTTATTTGTTATTATATTTACAATTACGAAAAAAGTTGAGAAAAATGAAAAAATGAAATGATGAATGCATTACGAAAATATTTTAACATTTATTACGAAAAGGATGCATTTAAATTATTTTTCTTATGACCTCCAAATATCATCAATTATTGATGTTGCAATCAATTTAATTAAATCATATGTTTTTGCGCTGCGAAATGGAAATATAACTTACTCGCTTTCGCCCGCGGCTCCACCCGCGCTGTAGCACTTAACTAAATATCCTATTCCTATAATAATAAAAAGAATCCTATGTCCTTTTTTAATATCTTTAAGAATGTGTGTAAAAATTTTCATGATAGTCGGTTAAGTAGTTTTGGCGTGACAGCGTAACAAACAAACTTACATTACCATTTATAAATAACTAGTCGCGGCCCGCGACTACGTCTGCGTAGAATGAGCTGAAGGCGTAACATTCAGACAAAGACATATATACATAAAAATATGTATATAAATTATAGCCTGTCTTATTCTGATGAATAACCTTTATTATTGTAAAGTTTCATTAAAATCCATTCAGTAGTATCACGTTTCTATTTCACGCAAATACTGCTGATATTTACGTGAAAGAGTAACAAACATCTATATATACATAGAAACCTTCGCGTTTATAATATTATTAAAGAAATAAGGATATTATATATATTACAATTTGTGTCTAACTGTAAATCGGGCTTTGCTTTGCGAGCGCAATGCGATTGAACTTTGTTTTTCTTGCTTATAAAATGTTATAAAATTTTCTACCGCCTTAAACTTTGGCGATGACAATTTATTTTAGAAGTTGACTATAAAGCAGTGGTTGATAGCGCGACTGGAGGTCACGGGAAGGGACTTTAAGGTGCGCACTTAATTATTTCCGTTCTTCACTCATTGCTTGAGCGCATTTGTATCCTAGTTGTGTGGAGCGGTGTCACAGCTAGGCCAAATAAAAAAATTATAACTAGACAACGCCGGAGCAACGCTGGCAACATTCGCTGCCGGTGATTGGTGGAAACAATATAATAGGAACCACTTGTTATCTTCGCATTTTGTCGAGAACGCCCGCGCGCCTCTTCGCGGAAGAAATTTATCCTTAGCGATTAAACTGACTGTCCCGGGACTAACAGAGACAAGAAAGAAACAACAGAATTCGGTGAGTGACACATTAATTTACTGCACTTCTGGGATCTCTGTGTGCTTAGCCCAGGGTTTAATTTAATAATAGATAAAATGGAATCGGCCCACGTCGGTAGAAATTCCACCATAAAATGGTCTTTCGAGCTCAGATTAGCTCTTCTATTTGTAAAACCTCCCTACGATTAGACTGACAACTTTTGCGCGTTGTTTCAACGCCTGTGTACGTACTTATTCTTCAGATCCGTCCGCCATATTTGCTCTAAACAAAAGATTATAATTTATGTATTTATATTATTTACGTATTTATATTTGTATACAGGTTGAATGTGTGATTATTACAATTTGTTTGTCAAGCCTTTGGCATAAACGTTTAAATATTAGCTCGCGCACACCAGTGCTGCAACGCTTTACAGTGTACCCGCATAATATTTTTATTAAAATTAAAAAATGGCGATGGATTAATGATTTCGAACCAATATGGGCATGTGAAGGTTTTTATTGTGAAATAAAAGACGCGATGCAAAACTGTTCTAACGTGCTATCTAGTGCGTCAATTCAAACGATCGAAAGTAGCTCTAACAATGCACATAATATAAGATGAGAAAAGTTATCGATTCCTGATTTTTATGGTAAATACGAAAAGTTTCCCGTGTTCATGGAGTCTTTTAACTCAATGGTACATAATAATACCGACCTAAACGACACTAATTTAGAAATCAAGCATCTTTACTTCTAAAAGGGAAAGGCAGAAAGTATTTGTTTAGGTATCTATCCTACCGCGGAAAATTATTTGCATATTTATGAAGCGGTAGTTAAAAAAATACAGCGATGACTGCGCGATCGCTGTTGCATACTGAAATCGGTGCAGAACGCTAACCCACAATCGTTGGACAGTTCCATTGATCAATATGCCACATTAGTTGCCGCTATAAAACAACTATACAAATTTTTGTGCATTTAGGCCTGCGCGGGGGAATACATCGCAAACCGACATGAGAGCTATGATCGCAGGAACATAGGTTGACAACACGGCTACCATGCGTTTGCGATAAGACCGACACATTACAGGATAGTGAGAACAGAGTGGTTTGGTTATATAGCCACAGTGCACCAAAAGTGCCTGAACGCGTATTTAATAATATAGTTTTGTTAGGGTCCGCGATTGTTCATGTTAAAAACAAAAATTCTATCACTCGTAAGGTTAGAGTTCTCATTGATAGGGGGTCACAAAAACATTTTATTTCGAAACAATGTTTTAAAAGACTAGGCGTTAATATTCGCCAGCCACAAGAAAAAATTGGAGTGAAAGGTGAGTGAAAGCTCACAATCGGTTCAAGGGTTGACAAATTTAACTTTACATTCACGTTATAGTAAGTTTAATCTTAACTTAGATTCCACTGTTGCTTTATATTGGGCGCACTCATCGCCACAATGTTTTCAAACATATGTAGCTAATGGCATCGCGTTAATTCAAACTTACCCGCTAAACATATTTTCCAGTTGTCCGGGAAGGACAGCTCAAAAGTGATTTTATTTCTCAGGGTCTGCTTTCTTCTCAACTTTTAAACCATCCCTTATAACAATAATAATAATAGTCCTATTTATATATGTATTATAAACAACATTTATATGTATATGTTTATTTTTATCCATAATATTTATTTTATATATGCAATATGTATCTATATTTTTATTTTTATTTATAAACCCAACCAGACGAGAAAACAAATGAATATCCTCCCCATAATAATAATAATAATCCGTGGGAGTCGCCATCCCGGGGAGTCGCTTCAGCATGTTATCTCCGGTTGTTCCATGCTTTCTAACTCTGGGTATCTGCATAGACACAGCCTAGTAGCCAGAATCCTATACTAGGAGCTCGCTCTGAAATACGGCCTCGTAGATCGAAAACTGCCGTACTACAAGTATTATCCGGAAGCCGTGCTCGAAAATGACCGCACCAGGCTCTATTGGGACCGGCCCATCATCACGGACAGGACGATTGTCGCGAACAAACCTGATATCGTGGTGATGGACCGGTCACATTCCATGTGACGAGAACCTCGTGAAAAACGAAACAGATAAGAAGACAAAGTATCTGGACCTGGCTCACGAGGTGACCGACATGTGGGGTGGTGTGTCGACCGAAATTATCCCGATAGTCGTTTCTGCAAATGGGTTAATCCCAGTCAGCCTCTCTAAACATCTGAGGCCACTGGGACTCCGGGACGGATCACCCCAAGCTCAAAGGCAGAAGGCGGTGCTCCTCGATTCCACACGCATCGTCCGCCGGTTTCACTCCCTTTCGCCCTAACCCTCGGCCGTTTGGTCTCCTCTGCCGAGGGCTTCCGTCTGGTTGGGTCCTATTTATGTATGCATTATAGATAAATATTTATATCTATTGTTTTATTTTTATTTATAAACCCGACCAGGCGAGAAAACTAATACACATCCCCAAATAATAATAAAACCATTTAATTAATTTTTAACTTATGGATGCACGTTCCACGCTGGGCGTGGAGTTCTGTATGTGAGTAGCCGATAGAGCGTTTTACTTTCGCTCATTGCAGCGTTAACGCTACTACAGAAAATCCATTATTATACAACGTTGCGCTAAAATTGTCCTCTTGCTATAAGTTGCTAAGAATTATTGCTTACATTTTTCGTTTTATAAAAAAGATTCCGCGTTCAAACAATATGGTGGTTGACCATTTAACATAAGCTGAAACAGCAATTTTACTCTAAGTCCAGGAAGTTAACTTCTCTAAAGAAATTGAGAGTTTGGAACTACATCGTGAGCTTCCGAAATCGTTTAAAGCTCTTTCACCCATTATTACCAAGGACGGGCTCATCTGGGTTGGAGGCAGATTAGAAAATGCTAATATCAGCTTCGATATTAAACATTCGGTGCCGTTACCTAAGGGTAATCACGTAGTTAAGCTATTAATTGAGTATTATCACGCTAAATTTCTGCATCCTGGACCGAATCTTCATCTATGAATACTCAGACAACGTTATTTGATATTATCCGGTAGGTTATTTGATATTATCCGGTGGTCTCACAGGTAGGCCGAATAAAAAATTGTAATTACATAACACTGGAAAAACGCTGACAACATTGGCGATCGGTGATGGGCGGAAAAAATATAATAGGAACCACTTGCCATCTTCGCGTTTTGTCGAGAACGCACAAACGCCTCTTCGCGGAAGAAATTTATCCAATGCTTATACAATGTGCTTAGCTTAGGGATTTATTTTTAAATGAGTTGTATATTTTATAGCATATTTTTAATTTAACTAGTTTTATACTTCTTAATTTTTTTTTTATTATTATTTTAAAATGATATCTTTAGATCATGGCATTTGTGACTCAACTTCCTTTGTCTCCGCTTTTGATGGATCGACTAGCATCAATAATTTCGAAAGCATATCTCCGTTACATACTACGTTAGACTCATATTTTCTAGAAGTTCCAAAAATTTTAACATTGTTCATATAAACGCCCAAAGTATTCCTGCTCACTACCCGGGTATATTGTCAAGTTTTAATAGTAATAATATACAAGCATTTCTTGTTTCAGGATCATGGCTTAAGCTATGTGTTTATACATAATCTTAGAACTCATATACCTTTTTCAGTAATTCAAACGTCACAACTGCAGTCTGGAAGTTAAGTGTTGTGAAGTGTTCGGGTGCAGGATTTTTTTTTTATCCTGGAATATCAATGTTGACGGCGTTCCACAAGGCGGCGTGCTGTCTCCTCTTCTGTTTGCAATTCTGTCTCCTCTTCTTAATTAATACGATAAGCTCTCACCTATCTTCTTTCTACCACTTGTACGCTGATGATCTTCTTGACTATGCCGATATTTGCTATCTTGACATTACATAAGTAAAACTTAATAAACTTGAGGGAATATGGGCTTCATAAATATTATCATGTTTCCGATTTTCATCCACAGCTCAAGTGGATTCCAATCCGCCTTCGCAGGATTACCCATACTCTTTCTGCTTTGTACAGCGTGTTGATTAATCCCTCTACTCCAAAATATTTAAAAGATGGCTTCGAGTATCTTTCCTTATCCCATGAAAGGTCCCTTCGTTCTTCTGCCAATCTCTCACTCCAAACTCCTGTACATTCCTCTTCCTTCTTTTAAAAACATATTAAAAGCTCATTACTTGGAACTGTGAACTCATGCTTTCCTTTTTCCTTACCTATTTTTCCCAAAATCTCTCTTGTTAATGTCTCATTAGTAAAAATTCTTTTCGCAATGGTTGTCTGGAAGAAATCACTTTCTGAGCGATAAGACCGCCTATTGTATTTCCTTTTATATTCATTTGTAATTTGTTTTATATGTATATATTTTTATTTTTGGTGTAAAATAAACTATAAATAAATAAATAATAAGACCTTGATATTGTTTGTTTCTCAGTACACATCATATCGGAGGAGTACGATATGCATGCTTTTAAAATTACATGATTTTTTATTCCATGATATTGTTATTAAAGCATTCACCATGTGTTACTAGGTAAATAAGATAGTTTAGCTATAACTTTGTATATAGGTATTTTCCGTTAAAATTCAACTACAATTGAAGTTATGCCTTAGTCACAAATTATTAGTAGACACCTCAACGCTTAGTTAATTTTAAATCTTATTCACAGGTATTCTCAAGAGAAAATCGTCATTTACTCATGTTTCTTAAACTTGGCTGGGTCGGGTCATTATTAATAACAAGTATCTACGTTTTGGTAAAACTTTTACTTCTTCATGACACTGAAAGGTAATTAAACAAAAAATGGTAAAAAAATATATTTCTTAACTCTGAATATTTCAGCAGCTGAATGAGAGCCAAGAGCACTCACAATGGAGAAAAAAATATCTGACAATTAATTAAATCGTTTTGTAGCTTGATTATCACCCTTGGTAAACTAACACAGAGCTATAGAAAGTAGAAAAAAGTTAAAATCAGAAATGAAAACTTATACAACTATAGCACTATCTCACCAGAATTTATTTTATGGAACTCATGTCTTTCAGGTGCTGGACTGATCCCAGTGTATCCGATTGGATCATTACCATACCAGTGCTTTTTAGCAGTTTAACATCAATCAGTGAGTATTTTTATATGATGATGGACAATTCTACTTTTCCCAGCAGACATTTATAGGCTGTTATATTATTACTTTTAATATAAAGAATACGTTAATTTAATATAAAACATATCGTTAAGCTTGTAAATTACAAAATATCCAAGATTCCTTTTTTGCCTTAGACCTTAGGCTTTCACATATTATCCTAAGTTATAAGAAGAAATGATGTTTTAAGTTTTTATAAAATATTTTATTTGGTTATAAATAAATTTCCGGACTGAACATTGAACTTGGCGCCCATTTATTTCTCAGTTCTTTTGTCGTTGAAGTCGACAACCAAGGCATATCCAAATCTTCATAGTCCAAATCTTGGCTCTCATATCATTTATGTTTTGGGATACCTTTACTTTTTGTACAGAAATTATTAGTAAGTACTTATTCATAATAAAAGCAATGCGGTTATGGTTTTTGCTAATCTACTGTATTTTCCTACGTTGACGTGGTATAATTGTCTTTTTCGTGTTATTTTCTATATTTTCGTTTCGAGTGAATTCGAGTGCATTGCCCATTCAATATCTGGAATATTTTTACGAGTTTTCTATTTATATCTAGTTTTGCCAAGTCGGGGCGGTATAGCGTGCTCAGGAGGTTTAACTCTAGAATAGTAATAGCATATACTAAGCAAAAGAGGAATTATTCCCTGTGAACATATATATTATTTAACATCTGAAACTTAGTCTTGACTCGTTTTAGTTCTTAAATTAAATTATGCTTAAATTGTATTTAAATTAACATAAGCTATTGCTGTGTAGACGTCCCAAAGACCCTTCTCCGTTTTTCTAATGGATTAGTTTACCAGTCTCTTACATACATCAATGTTTCTCCGCAACACTACACGTGCACTCGTTATATATTCTCGTCAAGACCTTAAAATCTACATAACGACCGACTGTCATCAATTTTGATTCAATTACATGACTTGCCAGACCTTGCATTAAATGCAATGTAAATAAATGAACCTAAAACAACCAATTAATTGAAAAATTAAAAATTTACTAGGTTCTGATTTATTCCTTTGAATGCCAAATTTGAACTTTAAGCCGTTTGGAACTGGGTTAGAGTTTTTGATTAGGAGATATTTACATTAGATAGAAGTAGCCCAAAATCGCGAAAATTGGCTAATTTTGCAGGAGGCCTTCACTTGTGAAGACGAGGTTCTTACTAATTAAATATTAATAACGAAAATTAAAACTAAAACTAGGATAAGCAAATTTATATAACTAACTAGTAAGAATTATTTATGTACATGCAAGGCCTTTTTATTTTTTATTACATCTTATTTATTATGATTAGGAGTATATATATTTACCGGGTTGCTTATCAAAATGTGGCCGCAATTTTTTTAATTAAATTATTCTTAATTGATTTTTCGGAAAAAATTTCATTCACTTGTTTTTTTAAATAAAATATCGTCCACTTCACGGCAATATACTACATAAAGACTCTGGGTTGCTTTTGATACATTTATACGTTAAAAACGTGCATTTATTATTCATATATCAAATGAAAGTTAATATTTTTCCGTTTATTATGATATACGGTTGCCTAATTAAATGCGGCTGCAAATAAGGGTTGCAAGCTGTTAAAGATCGTAAATATTTAATGTAAGCTAAACATTAAGATGATTTTTTATATAATAATCTGTAACATATAGTGTATAATATAATAGTCATATATATAACTGTGGTAAGGTCACACAACAGTGTTCGCTGTTGCACGAATGGGCAGGTCCGTCCGGGTAAGTAACACGACTTCACAGAAGACTGGCGTAAAGTAGAAGTTTTAAACTTCTGCATTTCGTCTGGTGAGTCAGGTAGTGGAGTCCAATTTATTTAAAAGTGGCAACGCATTTGCATTTACGTGAGGTACCTAATGTTTTTATGTACCTCGATTACCTAATACCTGGAAATCAACCCTTTGAGCAAGCTAGCAGGTAGGCATGCAAGCGTAGTACATAATAACACTCCTCAGTCATTCACATTTCGTACGTCAGGTAATACGTAGCGTCTGGCGACCCTGCGATCTTGCTCTATAACTACAATATATAAAATAACACAATTTGTTTCAGTAATGATGTTGAAAGTGTTGTACGTCCTAATAACGAAATGTGACGTGCCAAGTTCCACCAACCCCTTTTCTAAGTGGGCAGCCAGATTCTCAATCTTTCTGGTAAGTAAGTCTTCAATTAATATAAGCATCAGTTTATTATGTATTTAGATAGCGTGTAACCCTCATAATCAATGTATAATAGTGGGGTCATGATGTAACTGACCATCATATAATGAATATTTATTTTATCGCCATCTCAGATCAAATGTCCAATTGTTCTCGTGAAAAGTACAGTGACCCATTAAAGATGCCAGAATTATTTTGATCAAAGCTAATTCGGAATTGAGTGTGTACTTTCAGCTTACTACCTTTATGTTTTCAGATAGCATTTTACCCAGGGTACTACACGTTCGAGTGCTTTTACCAAGGTTTCGGAATTACTTCAGCTATAATAACCGATTCTAAGGTAAGATAATATATGAAGTGAGTGTACACAAATAAGGCTGTTCCCAGATGGGAAGGGTGTGTATTAGATAAGAACTAATTTTTCTGCATATCGCAAACCTGCAGTGTTACATGTATCATCTGCTAGAAAGAATTACAGGAAGAATTCCATCACGTTAGCAACACGACGTTGATTTGTATAATACTTCTGTCAATCAAATTAAAAAACTGCTTAACTAAACTACACTAGTGAAAGAAATTTTCAAATCGGTTCAGTGGTTTCGGAGCCTATTCAATGCATACAGACAATCAAATCTTTCCTCTTACATGGTAGACGGAGTGGGTGGTGTTAGGTTTTATTTTCGTCACAGAATTACAGGAAGAATTCCGGGAAGAATTCCATCACGTTAGCAACACGACGTTGATTTGTATAATACTTCTGTCAATCAAATTAAAAAAACTGCTTAACAAAACTACACTAGTGAAAGAAATTTTCAAATCGGTTCAGTGGTTTCGGAGCCTATTCAATGCATACAGACAATCAAATCTTTCCTCTTACATGGTAGACGGAGTGGGTGGTGTTAGGTTTTATTTTCGTCACAGAATTACAGGAAGAATTCCATCACGTTAGCAACCCGACGTTGATTTGTATAATACTTCTGTCAATCAAATTAAAAAAAACTGCTTAACAAAACTACACTAGTGAAAGAAATTTTCAAATCGGTTCAGTGGTTTCGGAGCCTATTCAATGCATACAGACAATCAAATCTTTCCTCTTACATGGTAGACGGAGTGGGTGGTGTTAGGTTTTATTTTCGTCACAGAATTACAGGAAGAATTCCGGGAAGAATTCCATCACGTTAGCAACACGACGTTGATTTGTATAATACTTCTGTCAATCAAATTAAAAAAAACTGCTTAACAAAACTACACTAGTGAAAGAAATTTTCAAATCGGTTCAGTGGTTTCGGAGCCTATTCAATGCATACAGACAATCAAATCTTTCCTCTTACATGGTAGACGGAGTGGGTGGTGTTAGGTTTTATTTTCGTCACGGAATTTCTTGATTCAGTCGCTGAGCTCAAAGCCTGCGATAAAAGCTATACAATAGCTAAAAGAAACTGAGATTATTTCGCCGGTTCTTCTCATTACGGTGGCTGTCTTTACGGAATCGGTGGTAGTATTTTGACTTGGAATTCTGGAATGCCGTCTTTGTCGAATTGTGAGCCAATTGAGCTGAAAGAGATACTGGGATATATAATCATACTTTCGTAAACCGAAAATGTAAATGAGATAGTTCTTTAGAAGGCATTCCAGTTTGTATAAAACATCATTTAACAACAGCAAATCATTAAGCAGCGTGTTTATTGCATCCCGTTTACCGATGTTGTCTTGCTAACCAAATTGCCCTCTATCGATAACTTTGTTTAAGACAAAAGGAGCTCCTAATCTAGACTTAATTATGCATTCGAATATTTTTGATATTGTGGGTAATAAAGATCTATATCTTTGACATGCCTATGCCTTTACATCCTGGCATCTTACTTTTTTCAGTTGAGTTGAGTTTCCATACACTTTTCGATAAATTTTTGAAGCGAGCTATCTCGTTTTGAATTACATCTTCTTTTGCTAGTCTAATTAAATTCCTATAAATTGTCATGTATTTGTTACGGTACCTGATGACTGAACCATCATTATGATAACCTTTCCCTGTACAAAGAAACCTTTTCATTTGGCGTGATACTATAATACAAGTACCTTTGGTAAGCCATCACAAATATGATTTTTCTTAGTGTTTATTTTTATTTTTAAAACTGTCTTTAAATAAAGCTTTTAATTTGCTTAGAAAGACGTTCATACACAAAGAATTTCAGTCAAAATTAGTCATATTCTGTTTAAAGACTGATTTATTCTTTTCGATTAAAGCTCTTCTCTTGATATTAATTTCGTTATTGTTGTAACTACTTTTAATATGACGGACTATGATACTACATAATATTGACACGTGTCCATCTGATAATCCATTATGATCTGTATTACAATTTATTATATTCTCATTCGGTATATTTGTTAGAATATTGTCAATGCTCGAGCTCGAATTATTTCGAATAAAAGAAGAAATTAGTGGTCTAAAATTAAAACTGGTTAATCAATTCACGAATTCACTTTTCTTGTTATTTTCCGTTAAAAGGTCTATATTGAAGTTCCTTAAATAGTTCCATAATAAACTGACACTCATTTTTTTTCTCCCCCAGGGCTTAGTTACGAACGTGACCTTTTTTTTCGCGAACCAAGAAGTTATCACGACCTTGGGTAATGCATGGGCGCGTTGGAGGATGCCCCCCGATGACATTTTAATGAGAGGTATTTGTATAATGCAGCAAGATAAACGTTTAAAAACGGCCGATAAATGTTTAACGCCAAGCATCAAAAATCAACAAAAATGTCGCCCAACGGTTGAAATTCGACCATAACTAATTATATATTATAGTGGGTTTAGTGTTTTTTATTGGTTTAATGTTTTTATGCATAATTTAATAAAATATTAGCATTCTGCACTCCTCTGTATAAACTATAACTGTGAGAAATTTCAAACTGCTCCGCCTGCACAATTTTCGTAAAAAGGGCTACAAAATTTTGCTTCCCGTATTAATATATAGAAGATGATTCCTACGATCAATCTTTTAGCCGTTTCTACCACTATCTCGCGACAATGTTTCCGGCATTCCAAAATTAACGTTATAGACAGCTTTTTTGACAGCTAAGTTATCTCCAAGTTAATCTGATCTTCCAAAGTTGCATTCAGACTTAACCTATATATAGAAGATGATTGCTTCGGTCAATCTTTTAGCCGTTTCTACCACTATCTCGCGACAATGTTTCCGGAATTCCAAAATTAACGTTATAGACAGCTTTTTTGACAGCTAAGTTATCTCCAAGTTAATCTGATCTTCCAAAGTTGCATTCAGACTTAACCTATATATAGAAGATGATTGCTTCGGTCAATCTTTTAGCCGTTTCTACCACTATCTCGCGACAATGTTTCCGGCATTCCAAAATTAACGTTATAGACAGCTTTTTTGACAGCTAAGTTATCTCCAAGTTAATCTGATCTTCCAAAGTTGCATTCAGACTTAACCTATATATAGAAGATGATTCCTTCGATCAATCTTTTAGCCGTTTCTACCACTATCTCGCGACAATTTTTCCGGCATTCCAAAATTAACGTTATAGACAGCTTTTTCGACAGCTAAGTTATCTCCAAGTTAATCTGATCTTCCAAAGTTGCATTCAGACTTAACCTCTTTCGTTCACTAACAACCAACTTATATACGTTACGTAATGTCCAAAAGTAAAGTAACAGCCTATGTATATACATATGGGATACCTATGTGGGATGTCTACGTGCTGGGCAATATCCTCCTCTATACAGAGGGTATCCTATGTACTGAAGATGACTTCACATATTTTCGATATTTTTTTTGTTAGAGTCTCGATAATACATTCACCGCTAACAACACCGTGATACGTCAGCACTTAAAATTAAAAATTTCATTGGTGCCGGAACTGACAATTGAACTCAGGTCGTTCGATCAAATTACTCTTTAAAATTGTAAAATCATATATTGGAAAATATTTACTTACGAAAAAGCAGAATTCAATACAATATGCTAGTTTTTTTCAGGTGCGATTACACCAACAAGACCGGCCACCGTAAACGAGACAAAGGTTTAAGCACACTTGATATAATATGAAGACAATAAGCAACATGAACACTTATATTACGCAATTTTATGTAAAGCAAACATAAAAAATTACCGAAAAACGTTCTATACTTATTTACTAGTCTATGTTGTCAATGTATTAACTTTCAACTGATAACAAGATTATAAATATAGAGATATTATTATATAGAGATTATTAGAGATTATTATAAAAGATTGTAATAAATAATATTAAACATAAATGTCCCGTATTTTAATAATACATATTCTTGATAACAGAAATATAGAATTTTCTTCATAAATATATTTTGTTATGAAAAAAAATTTAATTTTTTATAAAATTTGTTTCAAAATAAATATTCTAATACGCCGATTTACTTTTTATGAAATAAAATTGTATCTGTTAATATAATGAACAGTTACATATACATATTAGTATCAAATATTTTGTATTTAATTTTTGTTATATATTTAAGTTCAAATAAATGTTTTATATTTCAATAATATATGGTATATTCCTAAATGTACATGAATACAAATATTTTAATATGATTACATTAACATAATATTCGAAAACTAATATAATCTTATTACAGAATCGAGAGTTGCTTTCCGTCATTATTTATTTTGTTCAAAATTTAGATATATGTTATAGAATAGATAATGCTGTTAATGTTGTTAAGATAGAAGTTATGTATGTGATACTGTCTTCAATCAAGTCTTAAATGTATGAATTTGTAGGCATCTTAAAACAATTAAATTAAGTAAAAAAAAACTGTTTCATTATTCTCTTAATTTAATATTTTCGTAAGAATTAAACAAAGTTCTTTTCATAACAAAGTAAATTCAATTCAAAATTTTATTCCCCATCTAAATGTACGTTAGATAAATAGATGTTAGAATAAAGAAGCGCTTATAATTTCAGATGCCCTTTCCAAATACAGCGAATTTGTTGATGGACACTATCCACATGTCATCATTTTAACAATGTAAATGCATTATTAAGCATGTTATTACAATGCTTAAACAGGGCATTTCTGTGGAAGAATTTTATTAATCTGCTGGCTTTTATTGCTCTAAATATTCATTCTCTTAGTAAAATGGATTTTCTTTTATTTTTATTACGCACTTATATCATAACCGCGGTCCATGGACTTTCAACTTTCCCAACTTTTGGGACGGTTGGGAACCAACAACAAGTTGGTTCCCAACTTTCAACCGGCTAGCAGTATCACTCAGCAGAAGAAACGCAGAACTATAACACTTTTACTCGACACCGGTCTTCTGTGAGTCGGTCTTTTTCCCCGTCTCTTACTATACATTCAACTTTGTACAACTCGAGTACCCATGTATGAGACATGTATGAGACACCATGTATGAGACACCATATATGAGTCGAACCGCGTTCTCCCTGAAAACGCCAACGCCAGAATGCGCACAATTCTGAGTCTATTATTGACTGACCAAAGCTGCTGGCATACTGACAGTCCAGGAAGCTTAACGCCAAAGATTCAGCATGTTGCCAGTGAAACGCCAAATAGAATTGAGTCCGTATTGTAAAGATCCCGGCCAGCTTTGATATAGGTTGCCAGTATCGGACCTCGCAACAGACTGAGTCCGCTTTCTTAAGGGTATTGTTAAGGGGGGAGGCGTTGTTGATTCTCGAGTTTCGCGCACCTCCAGAATTGCCTCCTCCAATATGCACTCCAATGCTCGGCCAATATTCCATAATCACATGAATCTACAGGAACCGGTCGTTTACTAACATAATTACTAAGAATGTGAATAACTGTGGAACCTTTATTAACGGTGAAATTAAGGATGGAGTCAGGTGTAATGCTGAGCTCAAATTATCTGTTTTGATGGGCACGTAAATGGGGTTACGGGCATCGTTAAAGTTTTACGAAAGGAGCAAATAAAGAGTTGTGACCTATCTTTAATAAAAAAATAAAATAGAACTTGATACAATTCCGTGAATACTTTTATGACAAAGCTCTACGTATGTAAAAATAGAGTCATTTCGCAACCTATGTCTACCCCGTAGAGGTCGAGTGGGTGAACTAATTAGGAAACTAAGTTATTTAATTCCACGTTTCCTTCCGTTGCTTCACCATGAAAATACAAGTTTGTTGCCTCGACACATATAGAGTAATGTTAGTTACTTTTATTTCTATAGATGTAGGTATTACAAATTTTACGATATTTACGACCTTACGCAATATTTGCTCAGAGAAGGCATTAAATTGGTAAAAGACTATTATTTCCTTGTGAACAAAATATGGTGTACAATTTATTTTCTAAAGTATTTCCAACAATTGTTTCCCATCGACAAATTGAAAAGGAATGAAAATGTATATAACGTTGCGAAAAATTTTTAAAACATTTAAAATTTTAGTAGTCTCATTTGTATATCAATGACTACACCACTGCATCGATCTTTCGCTCTTCTACATATAGTTTATGAAATTAGACTAAACATTAAAAAAAATGTATAAAATGACGTTCCCAAGCTCCGTTGCCAATTACAGGTAAAGCAATTTTAACGACGTTATTAAAACATCGCCTGGACCCGTTAGTATAGTTTAGTTTATTTTATAAAATTTTTACTAAGACGGCCGATTTTCTCAACAGTCTCCAGCAATGACGCTACACACCTGTACTCTGGCAAGTTTACAATTCAATGACTCAATTTATCCTACGTCGCGGAAACAAAGAAGTAGTAAGATCAACGTTTTATATTTGAAAGGATAGCAAGCAAGCAGGCGAACACCTCATGTTCAGTGATACCTGTAACACCGGAAGGCTTGATATACGTTGCAAAACTAAAAAATGGGCGTGGATTACCTCACTCGCAGTTAAAAGGCGAATCTATGATACTTCCCCTTCACTTCTGTGAGGTCTTTTGTCAGACCGTATCCTGAGAAGTCCACCCATTGTCCGGCCAATTCGGGCAACAGTCGAAGATAAATATAACGAGGCTGACAAGAATTACTTAAATTAAATTAAATTGAATATTTAAATTAATAACCAGATCTTCTTTATATATATTTTTTCTTCACCAAATACTAGATAGCGTCCATAAATACTAGGTCCATAAGTCTAGAAGACTATTGACCGACGACAACGTCGGTCAATAGTCTTCTAGACTTGTGTATACTAATTTTGTAATGGTAACAAGTTAAATAAAAATAATTTTCGTACTACTACCTTTTTTTTTTTTTTTTTTTTTTTTTTTTTTTCACTTTTCTTTTTTTATTATTAATATCAATGCGTACTTTACTAACATCTCATATTGTGTAGATTAAGAATTAATACTAAATAAATTATCGGTAGTAAGGACATTGGGACGTACAACATTTTAATCTGCCTTGTGATCATGGACACCAAAGTGTTCGAAACTTCGGTTAGTGTTCGTAGTGTTCGAAGTTTTTATAAACGGAACCATGATTGAAGGCGAAAAACACATAATTGGAGTTAAAAGCCGTGTACCGCCGTCACATTCATACGCTCGACCGATTCCACCTCAATTGTCGCCGTAAAATTTCTGATGGTCTGATCGTGTACGGAACACAGAAGTGCTGCGAAGAGCCAATGTAGGTGGCATTGAGGCTTACCTTATGCGGCGTCAGCTTCCGTGGTGCGGACACGTTTCGCGTATGGCGGAGCAAAGAGTTGCTAAGCGCATCTTTTACTAGGAACTGGAGGAAGGCAAGCGTGGGCATGGCGGTCGACTCATCAGGTACAAAGATGTCCTTAAGCGGCACACGAGCGGAGGGAGCTACTTAAAACTAGCGTCCAAAACTTTGAGGACAGGCAGCTCTGTGAGCTAGACGCCAACGCGGGTAACACTTGAGCACACCAAAATCGGAGTTGAATGCAGTCGCCGTGGCCGAAATCGGCCGGAAGGAATCAATTAGATTCATTGCTAGGTACTAACGCAGATCGCTAATTGGTCTCCTATTCATTATACATACGATTTTATTTTATTTGAGAAGGTGGCAATAACCTGTAGGGCTGCGTTACCAGTTGCCAACTTTTATTAAAGTGGGCCGCGGCCACCTCACCCGCCAGATAGAACGAGAAGTATAACGATTGCACTTCACGCCAGTCTTCTGTGAGATCGTGGTACTTATCCGGACGGATTGCGTGGCCCTACCACTAAAAATACTAATGTAATGAACCACTCGAAAATTATTATATTCCTGTCGTATCTCATAATTTGTAAACTTACGTTAACGAACAATGAGACCAAAGACTAACATTTCTGTGTAGTTAGTAATGAGTTCCAGGAAAAGCGGATATTTTACAATTTAGCGCAAAGCAAAGTAACGGCGAATCTCTTGAGCTTATTATCGCAAACATACTTTTAACTAACATCCTGATCAGCTTAAACATCATTTCGAATGAACTCCGGAAATTTTTGACAAAAATGCTATAAAGTTTAAATTAGCGTTGGTAAGCGTAGCTTTCCCAGCGAATATATACACACCGGCACAATTAGCGGAACACAAAAAAAAGCAGGATTTTAAAATCTTTTACTTGAGGAACTGGCCAGTTATGATATTTTTTTAAATTTATTGTCAAATTTGAAAATAGAAAATTAGATGACATACACTTTTTTCATTCATTTGTTTTATTTTCCCGAACAATACGTTTTGTCAACTTGTTCGAGTAATAACTACGTAATTGTAATATTTTTGAAAAATTGCACTTAATGGTTTTTTATAAATTTGTTATTCTATAGGCAATGTTGTTTATTAAAAGCTCTTTATTATGCCAGACTTGACATCACTGGAAATCATTAAGGCTGATGAAATGAGAAGAAATGGCCATACCTACAGATCGATTGCTTCGTCGACCAGTATCAACGATTCATCGTAGCATCCAGCGGTACAGATCGTCTAATTCTCTTGTGAGGAGGAGGGGTCAAGGTAGAAAAAGATGTACATCGAGGCGAGATGACAGTTTTTTACAACTTGGAGTTCGTAGGAATACGCGATTAACCGCTGTACAAGCTCGAAATGAACTAGAAGACGTTCGAGGAGTACGAGTAAGTGAGCGTACAGTTAGCAGGAGATTTGAAGAAGTTGGTTTAGGGTCGTATATACCTGCCAAAGGCCCAAAACTTGAGAGACGTCACCGCGTAAACCGATTAAGCTATGCGCGAGAACATCGTCATTGGGATTTGAACGAATGGCAGCAGGTTCTCTTTACTGATGAGTGCAGAGTTCTTTTAAAACAGATCGATGGCAGACAGCGAATATGGAGACGCAAAGGAGAACGCCACATACAGTCTAATTTTGGACACACAGTGGCTTATGGTGGCGGCTCGATTATGGTTTGGGGAGGGATATGTTTGGGAGCTCGCACGGATTTAGTGATAGTCACAGGAGGGACCATGACAGCAGATAGATACATCAGAGACATTTTAGAAGAACATGTTGTACCATTTGCCCCATTTATTGGTGACGACTTTATTCTAATGCAAGATAATGCTCGTGCTCATAGTGCACAATCGGTACAGGCATATCTGAGCCACGTAGCTATACCGTTGATGCAGTGGCCAGCAAATTCCTCCCATATGAATCCGATAGAGCATGTCTGGGACTTGCTAAAAAGAAGGGTTAAATCCAGAATGCCACCCCCCAACAATCTGAATGAACTTGGAAACGCATTACTTGAGGAGTGGGAGCGGTTGCCTCAAGAAATCATCGATAACATAATCTGTAGCATGCCCAGACGAATGGAAACCGTAATCAGAGCAAGAGGGGGAAACACTCGTTATTAATTAAAACTTTAATTTTATTGTTAAATCATTTAATGCTTACTTTTTTTTATTTTTTGTGATGGTTCATAATCATCTAAAAATTTCACTTATTTCAAATTTCTTTATTTTTCAATAAAAAATAATGAAGACTTCAATGTCGTTGTTAAAAGATGTTAATCAATTTGTTATTTTGTGTCTAATTACATTTTCGTCAAATATATGCGTTATTATCTCAGTCTCACTTTTTTTTTCTGTTCCGCTAATTGTGCCGGTGTGTATATAATGATCAGTCTTTTTTTAAAAAAACCTTGTAAAACTCAGAGCTGCCCAATAGTTGTAATAATCTACGAACCGTGAATTCAACTTCAAAACTTTCAATTTAAACATAAGCTGTTAGCAGGATTTTTAATATGTCTGCAAATTAAGTCTGTGCGGCGCCAAGATATGTCTTTCGAAAATTCAAGTACCTAATTCCATTCGCGGAAGTTTTGAATGTACTGCATTCTAATCATTTATTTATTTAATAAATTGCCTTGAAAATTGAAGAACAGAAAAGACCGCCCTAATGCTTAAGTTATTTTATTTATTTATTTATTTATTTTGGATTACCAACAAAATTATATGTATACAGTTAATTCCGTACAATTGAAGTTGAGATTCTGACTGGGTGTGGCGTTTTTAACGTGAGAAGATTGTGAGTGAGCTTTCGTTTCATCGCAGCCAATGGACATTCGGAACACCAGTAATGTTCCATAGCCGTTGCCACCATTCAATAAATAATAATCAAATGGCTCCGGTTACCTCGCTTGCAAAATGAAACGCAGAAGTATCTTCTACATCTCTACTTCTGCAAGGTCATGGCACTTCCCCGGACGGGATTACTCATTCGTGGAACAGCGAAGGCTATTGCGTGGCACTATCACATAAACTAACTCTGGTAAAAGTATTTATAAATTAATAAATATCCTGTGAATGCCACTCATTCCCAACAACTTCCCATTCCAATTCAAGCGCACACAATTTCCAGAAGCAGCTTGCTTCGTGATGACTATAAATAAGTCTGAGGGACAGACCCTAAAGGCAGTTGGTGTTGACTTAAGATCTATTTTTGCCAGGCAACATAAGGGAAACCCAGTGGTATATAAAAGCATATTTTTATGTATTCTGTCTTTCTGACTGAATGTTACGCTTTCAGCCTATTCTGCGCAGACGTAGTCGCGAGTTTTTATACATATAGCCCCTGAAGACAAAACCATAAAGTGGTACATAAAGTAATACATTATTGTACAGATATGTCTGTATTTGTCTGAATTTTACGCTTTATAAAAAATAAAGAAATAATAACTTCTTCTGGTGCTGTCGGGTAAATACAGCCTAACCTTACCTGTTCGTCATAGTTTGTTGGATCTGGGATGAGTAGGTAAGATATTGTAATTACTAGGAGACTTCGATCTCTCGAGCATAGCTTATTGGTAAGACATTTTCACCAACTGTATGTTGTGTGATGTGACAGAAGATGTATACCTGTGGACATAAGGTGGAGTTTGCCCGATTAGAAGTCGAAAGCAGATAATCTATATTGGTTTGAGAGGTACTCAAACCAATATAGATTTATTTAAAGTTGGAAACTACAACTATGCTTGCGCACTCTTTATTAGATAACTTAGCAAAGACTGTATAAATTGGAGAAATTAGTTACGAAGTGTAGATTGTAAATATTTGTTTATATATATTTGTGAATGCCTTTGAGGGTTGCTTAATCATGTTTGATTAAACTCTCCCTTTAAAAAAAGTGAAATAAAAACTTAATTATGTATGTATGTAAAAGAAACACAGGGCGAATAAGAAGTACTTTGAGCATGGCACCCAAAATACGCAATGTCACAATAAAATTTCCGGTTTTTTGTTTACATAAACAATATTTATAAAATAATTACAACATTTAAAAATGGAACTCTTTGGCTGTAGAATGCAATTTGTTTCATCTAACTGTCAATTGATTTTATATTGTGGTGTGTATTGCCATTTTAAAAATTGTGTGTCTGCATTAACACGTTAACTGCGTAATATAAAACAGTGACTTTCAGCTGGTGCGGTGGCAGTCCAATCAGCCCCCACTTGACTTTCTTACTGTGCGTAGCGGGCCTTTTCGACCCGACAACTCTGAGGGGTATTAAAGCTCTATTATCTCAGCCAATCCATATAGAATATTTTATTTTTTTATGGTTTTCGAATTGTCATGAATTACTTGTCTAAACATTGTCCCCGCCCCTGGATCCTCCAAACAGAAAATGAGAAATTAGCAATCGAAAATGTCATGTCCTAAGTGTAATTTTTGTAGCGATGGGGTAGTGAAGAAAACAAAATATCGAGTTATTAAAATTATATTAAAATAGATACCTAGTTAAAATCTAATAAGCACTAACTATTATACTCTGAAGCATATTTATTGGTCTCGGTTACGATTTTTTCAATCAGTTTATCTGTTAAAAACAAAGAAAAATGACATCAGGCGTGGTGTTATCTATCGAAAAATTAATAGTGCTCTCATGTAAGGTGCATTCCTCTAAATTAAGAGTAAAATCAGTAATATCTTCCCATTCACTCTCTTCACCGTCATCTTGTGCATCTTTTTCGTCGTTGTTAGTTATTGCTGATAGCTCGGAGACAACTTCGCTGGGACAGTATTCATCACTATCGTTACTTTCAAAATCGGCCTCTTCTTCTTCATCACATAATTCTTGTTCATTTTCCTCTTCATTTACTTCTTCCCTCTGACCTCATCTTCCCTCTCAAATTCTTCTGCCCTTTCGGTCTCTTCCTCCCTCTCGGGGTCTTCCTCCCTCTCGGGGTCTTCCTCCCTCTCGGTCCCTTCCTCTCTTTCAGTCTCTTCCTCCATCTCGGGCTCTTTCTCCCTCACGGTCCCTTCTTCCCTCTCAGCCTCTTCCATCCTATCGGTCTCTTCCTCTCTATTGGTCTCTTCATCCCTTTCGATTTCTTCCTCTCTATTGGTCTCTTCGTCCCTTTCAATCTCTTCATCTCTGTCTGACTCTTGTCTATTTTTCTATTCCTTCTTCGTTTCCGGTTATTTTCTCTTTTTCTGTTTCTATTTCCTTTTTTTTTTCTTCTTTTTTTTTCTCGTTTCTTAGTTTAATATCGATAGAATTCTGAGATAAGTCGTCTTCAAAAGAATAGGTGAATGTTAAATGGTTTCCAGCGTTATGATTTTGTAATACCGGTCCTTGCATATTTTCGAGTTTGTGTAAAATTATGGATTTCGTATCCTCTTGTTTATTTTACGAAACTGTCGAGCGCGAGCACGTCCACCTCCCGTGACTGCACAACACTACTGACGGCTCAACGCGTACGGCAACAGGTCACCGTCGGTCGTCCACCAAAATAGGCCCGCTCCCGCACTGAGATAACTTTTTTAAGTCCTATGCGGCGGAGGTCGAAAATGGCCCGACACGTAAGTAAACTGCCTATATTTTTACATTTTAAGTCACTGTCACAATCAAAAACTATATTTGTCTCTGTCATACTCGTAAAAATGCCCTTAAAACCTATTCCGCACAAGCGAGAAAGACTAGTTTTGTTCGCGCGCACATTAATTTTTGCGTCGGGCCGATTGTGGGTGAACCGCAGTGAACGTGTTAACATGAATTTAAATGATTTTCTACGATTTAAGTGTAATTTGACAGTTAAACAGAACCTAGCTGGGCTTCAATCTACTTTTCAATCTATCTTTTACAATCTACTTTGGGGGGACAATTGTTACAATGTCAGACAACTATTTATAGTTAGCTGGTTTGCGGAATTCAAACGCGGTCTTGTCAATCTCAGTGAAGAATCTGGCGATGGTCGCCCGTTCACCGCTGTGTACCACAAAAACATCGATGCCGTGCGCCGTATGATCGAAACAGACAAGCATGTGACCTGCCATGAGATTCGTGCATCCTTACATACATTTGGGTGTGAGAAAGCTATGCTCGCGATGGGTCCCATACAATTTTGACCGAGGCTAAAAAAACGGACCGTGTCACTTGGTGCAATGCCATGCTTACGAGATTCAACGAAGGTGTGTCAAAGGGTTCGTTCGTGTGGGATATGGTAACAGGTGATGAAGCATACGTTTATTACTACAATCCCAAAACAAAGCAGCAATCAAGCGTATGGCTCTTTCAAGATGAAAGACCCAGATTTCTGTGAGCGATATATCCCCCAAGAGTACTTAATTATAATTAATTGCCTAACGTGCGAAATATTAATAAGCAACTTATTCTATGATTAAAAGACTCCACTCAACAAATAAACTAATTAAATGATAGTTAAGCGCTAAATGATGTGTCTAAGTTCGGTTTTTTCAGTTTTATTTTTTAATTTTATAATTTGAATGATTTTTTTAAAACAAAGAACTGAATATTTTTTATACATTATACATATTACATTGATGGGAAAAGAAATTATTTCCTTTATTCATATAATAGACACAGAAAGAAACGTATGTACGCCTCTAGTGTTAGTCATGAAAATGGAAACGTTGAAAGCCCCCTGGGTATTTTGCGCACCGACGCCGATTCAATTTTCATGTATTGAATCAAGACAAAAGATCTTACTTTTAAAATGTGCATATCTCTTCTAGCATTTGCTTTATTGAAGTGCAAACTTCTGTCGGTGCGTGTAGTAGTGCTTTTTGGGTGTAGAAAAATCATCGAACTCGCGTCATCGTCACCGAAAGCCTTACCGTGAGCTATTTTTAAAAAAGGAACAGCACATATACATACGCAAAAATAGATTTGTAGTTATGTATATGATATAATACTGTTATTATCGTTCGGAGTGCCTTAATTATATGAAGAGTTAAATATTACACAATTTTAATTTTGATATTGTTTTATTTTTTCATTTCTGACGACAGTCCCCATGAGAATGCCTATATTTTAGGAAAAAATACTTTCTCTTATTTCATTCATAACGGCAATTTCATAGTTAAAGACCTAATACATAAATAAAAAAATCTTTCATTGTCGGATCTTTTTGAACATGTGCCTCTTTCTCAAACCTAGAACACATAAAAAATAAACAACTGCAGTAGACTTTATATACAGACAATATGAGTAAATAATATGAAAATAAAGATGGTCTTTTAGCTCTTGTTCCTGTTTTACGACAAAATCGAGAAGAACCTCCAACATTTTATACAGATTTTACTGTGTTATACTTGTCATAAATCCTGGACACCCAGCCTATAATACATATATGTATATCAAATTTTCCTTAGTTCAAACGCGTCCCTGAACGCTATATTGACATAATCAGAGACAAGTACCATGTCTCCATGTCTGTGCTTATATGTGCTGATAACATAGTGCATGTTATCGAGAGCCGACTGGAAGAGGAACAAAGAGTAAATCTGTGGAGGGTATGCTTGAGAATAACGGTATCTTGTGAAAACTTAATGTGATGAAGGCCGTGTACATCAGGCTTGCGATCCAAATAGGTCCTGAACCAACCATTAGGTATCATTTAGGTACCATGGATCTGTTTTGCACGAGTTCGTCGACCTGGACTGACCTCTGAGAACGTTGAACGTTGTCGGGAAACATGGAGGTGTTTGAATAGGAAGGAATTCCCTCGCAATAACTGGGATTAATGCCAGTGGTAGAAGATGATAGAAGAAATTGGCTTTAGTCACTATAGTCGGTGCCTTAAGTATTTATGACAACGAATATCTATGTATAACGTACTCATTGAATTTATTTATACAATAAAATCTTTATAAAGATTCGTAGGAGTCTCATTTCTTTTAAAAAAATAATGAACAAAATAAATAATAACAACAGAACGCATTTTACTACTTCTATCTGTTCGAACTGTGTATATCCATTTATATTTCTTTAGCTTATCACTAAGAAATCTGGAAACGTTTAATAGTACTGTATCTAGTTGATATATAAATGTATAAAACACCAGATTTAATTTTTGATTTCAAAATGCAACTTTAAAATCAAATCTAGAATTTGATAAATAACCAGGGTACCTTGACCAATTAAAAGGGTTTTGCTTGATAAGATTCATTACGAATATTCAAAAAAAAATTGTTAAAATTACTCAGATTCGATAATATTCAAGGCCTAACTTAATATAAATTTAAATATTAAATTAAGCCGACGTGAGGCCCAATTTGGAATTAGCTGCCAATTAACCGGAAAACTGCACGTTGTACGAGATTTCGACGCCAAACATTCCGATACTAGCTGTGGCAGATTTGAGAACACTCCTCAGGAGTGTTCTCAAATCGAGTTTCGACAAATGGGGTCTTTTTAGCGGTTACGTGCAAACTTGTGTCTTATATCTATTCTCCTTATACAACGTTGTGCCACTTTTGCATCGCTTGCTTCACCTACCATGAACTATAGCCCCATCCTGTGTTGGCTATTGGAGACTGCCTTCTGGCATTAAATTCGCTAATTGGCCTTTTTTATGTAAGGTTGGCAATTAAGTTTAAATTGTGTGGTAAATAAATTAACCTGTTACTTTTAAACTTCCTCAGATGAGAGTTCAAGTCAATAAAAGCAACAAACAATAAATAATAATTTAATTCTCTTCTGGCTTTATTACAATAGAATCATTAGGCGTTGTATCGATATGTACAGTTCTCAACTTTATTAATGTAACAAATATAAATATTATCGTTAATAAACAAAACTAAAGTAAGCTAATTTCCTTCATAATCGATGACCCGGCAGCGCAGTTTTCAAGCTATTGACTTCGGCGTCGTGGGTTCTACTCTCACAGAGGATAATGAACATCGTGTGATCCACAAATAACTGTTTCTGGGTATTTATTTGTCAAGGAGGGTTGACGTCTAGCCGGCGGTTGGTCGTAAAAAAAAGGATAATAAATAATTATAATAGGATAACCACTAGCCACATATTTCATTTGTTGTTCAAAATAAGATTAAATAATTGAGACGGATCGTTAGAATTTGTTTGCATATCTAAGGTATTAAAAATTATATTAAAACTTTTCTACAAAAACATTTGATTCTGTTTGCTCTCTGTAATCAGATCTAATATGGCTAAAGTTTTCAAAATTTCACACGATCTTTATAAATATCAAAGCAATTTCAACTACAGTTGACTTTAAATTAATGACAAATCATTTATAAAGCATTTGACAACTGATTTATAATCACTGGTACTTAGATCTAAGCTATATAAAAGATATAAAAATATATTTTACTGTACATATATTTATACTAAATATAAATAACAAATTAATATTAACATCACATTAGAACTATCACATTCTTCAGTATGAAACGCTTAATGTGGAAATAATTTAAATGCATTTCTAATGTCTAAAGTACTCTAATTCCACGTTTATCGTCGACTATGTCACTGCAGCTGAATACGCACTAGGTTCAGTGTATTGCAAATGTCTCCATCAATCGATCAATAGTGTACACTACTGAGGACAAAACGGTACCACACAACCCAGCGAGAGTTCACCCGATCAACAGAAATCAATGCCTCTATCAATGATTATGCCCATCTCCACTAGTATTGCAAACGTTATGAAAATGGCGTAAAGGACGAGCAAAACGAAACCGACGTTCTTCCTCAGCTGAAATTTTCCAAAGAAAAGGGTGACGTAAAGACTGAGCACTGCAACTAACAAGGAGCCCACCACGTAACCAATGCCTGCTGAGTTGATGTAGACAACGGTGCTCTCAGCGTCCTGCACCTTAAGAGTCGCGGTCTTGATCAGCCAGGGCAACCCGAGAGCAAAGAGTATCGCTAACGAGTTGGCGCCTAAAGCGTTAGAGACTCCCATGCCCCCTTCACCTGGAAACAAATTGTAGCATATAATTAGCAAACAATAAAATACGGATAAGCCTCACTCACCGTTGGCAGTACATTCGCTATCGCAAAAACATTCAACCTTTCGCACTTGCCGTTTCCTTGAATTTTAAAAAACGCATACATCATTATCTTTACAAAATCGATAAACTTCATTGCAATTGTTTCTCTTCTGAAAGGTTGATAACCTAGTCACAATAAAATAGGTTTAAAATTAATTTAATATTTTTTAAGGCTTTAAGTTTTAGGTTCTAGTATATATTTTGTATTAGTTTATCAATATAATATAACTAATTTTGTAGTATAGGAAATTGATAAAAAAAGTTTATCAGCTTCTGTGATCGACTGCCTGATGATTTTGTTGATACTGAAATTATCATATACAGCGTGTCGTTACCATCTCGACAATAAATGAACACACGTCTAACGCTACTTGCCAATAATCATAAAAAAATATTAACGTTAAACAAAATCCATAATTAAAAAAAAAATATTTTTCAAACAAAGTAATTAAGTAAAAAAGAAACAAAATTTGTAACATCCTATACACAACTCGCGCCACAGCGTCGTATTACAAGCCTCTCCTTCTAACAGTATGTTTTGTCTCTTTTAAGTTCATTCAACCCATTCATATGCTTTGTGACCTTTACAAATGAACTTTACGTTACGCTTTTATAGGTAAGGGTGTTCTAAAATTGTTTGTTTTGGAAAATTTAATAACTCTGTAAATATTGGTGTTTAAAGAATTTAAATGTTTAATACAACTTTAAAAAGTTATCCCCTATATGTGTGTTTATTTATTGTCGCGATGGTAACGACACGCTGTATATTAAAATTGATTGCTGTTCGTTAGTCTCACTAAAACTCGAGAACAGCTCGACCGAATTGGCTAATTTTGGTTTTAAAATATTTGTGGCAGTCTAGGAAAGGTTTAAACGACGTTTGCATGGAAAATGGACCAATTTTATTTTCCCTTATTAACTTTTCTTACCTGTTAGAATAAATGAAAATTAAGATTCAGGTGTGTATTCAGAAATAATTTATATGGCAAATAACGTTTGCCGAGTCAGCTAGTATAAAATATAAATTATTCAGCTAATTATCATACGATTTTCAAAGACAAAAGATAAATCTATCAACATTACCCATATATACGTAGGAGAAAAATAATGATTGATGAATCTGTCACGTGTTAATGTGTTATCAGTATGTTGTGTGATTTTTATCTGTACCTAGCTAACTTACACTAGAGGACGTTTGAGAAGTTTTTAATCTAATATTGACAATAAAAAGTACGTAGTAACGTGCAAAATAGATTTTTTTACACCGTTTGTTCACTGTTTAACTTCAAGAAGAAGGATTTCATTATTATGGGGTAAAGTTATATCTATACTTCAAAAATCATCTGTCCTGATTGGCTCGCAATTGATATCAACGCGCATCCAAAATTTAAAGAAAAAAAATTTTGGGCTTTTTCTACTTTTGGGGGGATTGGTTAGAGCGTTTAAATTTGTTTAAAATAAAGAAGTTGTTTAAATGGTGAGTAAAGGTTTGTATTAAAATATCGTTTCTTTTAATAAAATCCTTAGTAGAATTATAAAGGCGAATGTTTGTATGTATGGGTGGATGTTTGTTACTCATTCACGCAACCACTACTGAATGGCTTTTAATGAAACTTTACAATAATATAGCTTATACATCAGAATTACACATATGCTACAATTTACATACATATTTTTATGTATACCTGTCTTTCTGTCTAAATGTTACGCCTTCAGCCTATTCTACGCAGACGTAGTCGCGGGCAACAGCTAGTATTATAATAAAGGAGGGCTAATAACGCAGGGATTTGAAGGCATTACAGGCAAATAATGTACACAGAATGTTCGCAATATAACTTATCTGGCATAGATTAACGCACAGTAATATATTTTGGTCACGCAATCGATCTATTTGCCGAACACACCGAAATTGTTATCGATACGACATGGTAAACGTGATGATAACAAAACATTATAGTGATAATTCGCTATTGCTTTCGATTTCACATGCAAAATTCAATTTGAATCTACAAATCAGAGATATCGGGATAGAGATCAATTGAGTCAAGTCAAGGCTTTATATTCATAGGCCTTCATATTTATATGCAAAGAGTTCGTTCGCAAAAAGACAAAAATTACAAACTCCTATGATTAATTTTAAATACTATTCATACGCACCTCTCCTAGACATTATGTATATTGAACATGCTTCAGGTAAACAGCCGCCAAACGCCAGAAACGTCATCCCCATCACAGAATCTGGTATGAATAAAGTGTGCCCTGCAACATTATAAATAAATAAATCCGATACTTGCGAGGGAGCTGAAATTAAGGTAAGATCTTAGACAAAGCAACACAGTACAATATTTACTTGATCAATCAAGTAATCAATGTAATGGGATGGTAAAATACGATCTACTCGTTTTATTCAATTGGTTTTCTAGTTCCAGTCAACATTCAGCAATGAAGAATCGTTAATCTAATACGTACTGACGTATCATTATGTTAGAACTAGACGTAGATAAATGAATGTAATAATAATAATAATAAAAGATTTGATTAGTAACTGACCTATTACGGTCATACTCCAAGAAACGAAGTACGAGTTAACACCAATCCAGATAATGCACATAATGAAGGACAGCGGGTAAAGCTTCCGATAAGTCGCGGGTAACGGTATTGTAATTGTAAGCACCAGCTTCAGGGGCCAAGTGTATAACCACCAAAGTCTGTACGTAAATGAATTAGCACTAGGATAATTCCATAAGCTCTTCTTGCGTTTCACAGTTTCCTCAGCTAAAATATTAATTAAAAAATATCAAATCAAGTGGAATCACTTTCTGTTAATATGTAGTATTAATGTTAACATATACAAGGTCTGTTCAAAAAGTATCGCGAATTTTGTGTTTTTTTCAAAAATTATTTATTTATTCGTGAATATCTATTTTGTCCCCTTCAAAGTAAAGCCCTCCAGATATTATACACTTATGCCAACGTTTTTTCCAATCCTCGAAGCACTTCGAAAACTAATTTTTTGTGACCTCGTTCATTTCCTCCTTTGATGCCGTCTTTATCTCCTCCATCGTAGCGCAGCGTCGTCCTTTCATGGGCCTCTTTAGTTCCGGGAACAAGAAAATGTCACAGGGGTCAGATCTGGCGAATATGGTGGCTGTGGCACTATTAATGTGTTGTCTTTGGCCAAAAATTCGCCCACAAGCAACATTTTGTGAGCAGGGGCGTTATCATGGTGCAAAAGCCAATTTTTGTTCTTCCACAATTCCTAGTGGATTGCTTCGCGTAAATTGCGCATTACTTGCAGATGATGTTCCCTATTGAGCGTTCTACCCGGTGGCAAGAACTCATGATGCACCACGCCCCTGCAATCAAAGAAAACTGTGAGCAAAACCTTCACATTCGACCTAATTTGGCGCGCTTTTTTCGGTCTCGGCTCATGGGACAGCTTCCATTGGGATGATTGGGCTCTGATTTCTATGTCATAACCATAAACCCATGATTCGTCACGAATTATGACCCTCTGGAGCAAATTTGGGTCACTGCGGACAAATTCCAACATCTCGTTAGCAATGTTAATGCGGTTGTGTTTTTGAGCGAAACTGAGCAATTACGGTACGAATTTTGCGGCGACCATGTCTCATGCCTAAATAGGTAAAAATCGAATGACATGAGCCAATCCATATGTTTAGGGCCTCAGCAACTTCTCTCACGGTGATTCGACGATTGGCCAATACTATTTTCTTCACTTTTGTTGAAGTGCTAGGGCTTTCGACACGCTCTTGATCGTTCACATCTTCTCGACCCTCTGAGAACATTTTGTACCACCGATAAACGTTGCTTCTGTCCAAGGTAGCTTCACCATATGCCACAGTCAACATTCTGAATGCGAAGGCGCACTTAATTTTATTTTTAACACAAAATTTAATACAGATTCTTTGATACATTTTTTGGAATAGGCAAAAATCGAAGAGCCAAAACATATGCAAACGAAGCAGCGTAACAAATTAACTGAACTTTTAACATGGCCGAATTTGTTGGTATGAGTTAGAGATATTAGTATCAACATAATGCCACAAAAAAATCGAAAATACATAACCCGTGGAAATTCAAAATTCGTGATACTTTTTGAACAGACTCGTATATATGTCTAGTAATTGTAAAGCAGCTATAACGATAAAAAAATAGATTGAAGATTGAGAAGAGAAATGCTAAAACATTTAAAATGATGAATACAAAAGAATTTATTCTTACGTAAAAGTATTAGTCATAATTAAATTTGGTTACCCTTTTCATGGACGGAAACTTTTTCAGGAGTTGGTACATTGTTAATTATTGTCTCGGTGTTGTTGAAAGCCTTGTTATCAATACCGTCCTCTACAGGTTTGTTGTCGTTAGCAACAATATCTATAGACCAATATAAATATTTATGTTACATTTTTTCATAAGTGTGCTTGAGACAAATAAATGTGTACACACACTGATTAGCCGGTAATATGTTCATTTATGGATTTGATATTTACAAGTAACATCAATTATGAAGTGTGTAAACATGATTTTCTTACACTACTTTCTTTTATCATTTGTGTACATTTGCGTACTTCTTAAGGTTATTATTTAAACGGATTTATATTCCGCATTCAGTTGTATTGGATTACGTTGGAACTTAAAACATTAAACGGGAATTATTGGCAACATGCTTAATAGTTAATCCATAAAGAAATTAAAAGAATTTTTTTTTTCATGTTAATCAAGAAACTTGATCTATCGTATTTATACATTATTATGTATAATATATTAATTTTAGAACTCACTCAGACTACTGCCCTGGCAGATCCGCTGGGATATTTTATCGTAAGCAGCGAATATCTTGCTACTGTTGAACATCACGACGAAGTACGTTATATAAAGGATGGCGAGGACCAAAGCTTCATACCACTCGACTCGCCCGTCCCATATTATCAATACCAGAGCGGTAACGTTGAATATGTACATGATGACGTCCCTGGTCACTGGACGTCTTTCGATCGTAATTGGCTGGAAATTTAAAATACCAAATATTAATTTAATCAGTATAGAATATCAAGATTGACCGCACTTGTACTTCTAAAAACAGAAAGGTTAGAATTCCCCGGTTTCGACTATCTATCTTTCTATCTACTACACCTGCAAGGCGATAGGTACCGAGAACAGATACCGAGTTTTATCGATCAATGTTACTAATTGCGACCGTTAAAACATGCTTTAAGTGGATAAATAAATGACTGCCGTTTGACGGTCACAATTACATATTGAAAATCCAAAACTCCGTTCTATTAAACATCACTTCAGAGAAAGGCTTTACAAATATGGAAGCATACGTAAATATGTCAAATAACTTCCTTTAAAATAAAAAAATCTGCGTTTTTAAACAAACATTCTTCAAACTTATTTTTAATTTTAAAAATCATAAACATAACAGTGTACATAGGCGGACTTAATGCTGAAAATATTTTCTACCAGTCAACCTTAGGGTAGTACCGAGAAGTTGAGGTAGGTCCACGTTAGGCAGACGTTAAGAACGCTTGAAGTTCTCAAGCGTGCTTAACATAGTAGTATTGTAGCAGTAGTAATGTACGCAGGGTCTTTCGTACGTAATATTGCTGTTAATAAAATAGCCCTGACAAGATTAAATACAATTAATATTTTCTGTAACGATTGGAATTGATTTATATTTTTCGGCCCAATATAACTTACGGCTCAAATGTCTGCAGAATCCCAATCATAAGTTACAATGATTATATGAGACCCTATAAACACTCATTGAATTTCGCATATTTTGTAACAATAGTGATGTGCTTTAAAGGCTCCATTATTTTTTAACCGACTTCAAAAAAGAAGGAGGTTTCTCAATTCGACCGTGTATATTTTTCTTTTTTTTATGTCTGTTCGCGGATAACTTCGTCGTTTATGAACCGATTTTAATAATCCTTTTTTGTTGGCGAAATATCCCAAGGGTGGTACCATATACCATAAGGAAACCCGGATCTGATGACGATGGGCATTCGCCCTCAATTTCTCGTTGGAATCCACCAATGTTATAGACTCCTTCGTAGGAATCCATCAATGCTATAGATATTAACAACGTTCTCTGTTTCCTGTTTGAAGTCGGTTTTTTTTTTTGTTATTCCGTTGTAAACTAATCGCCGACTGTAGTAGTGAGAAGTTTTTACAGCCGAAGCGGCGAGACCTCCGATCGCCGCGACCCCGAGCGCATTGAAGATTGCCGAGCCGACGATGGTCCCAACGCCCATGTCCGACTCCGTGAGGAAAGTAGAGATGACGTTGACGAAGAACTCGGGACACGATGTCGCCACCGACATGAAAGTTGCCGCCGCAACATTCTGTGGACGCAATAGCTGTCATGGGCTGTGCCACCACTTGATTATATCTGAACTAGCTGCCGCCCGCGACTACGTCTGCGTAGAATAGGCTGAAGGCGTAACATTCAGACGGAAAGACAGGTATACATAAAAATGTGTGTGTAAATTGTAACCTATGTGTTATTCTGATGTATAAGCTATATCATTGTAGTTTCATTAAAACCCATTCAGTAGTATTTGCGTGAAAGAGTAACAAACATCCATACATACATACAAATTTTACACCTTTATAATCAATTAGTAAGGAAGTAAGGATTATCTATCCCGTAAGGAACGTCACCTACCCAATATAAATCTTAAGCTAGAGAATTTCAGCAGAATTCGATTTTGTTACTGTTTTTTTTTTTTCTTTATTTACACTTTGAGTTTAAAGATTGAGATGAGATACCTCGACTACTAATAACGTTTGGTTAATAGAGCATGTTCTATTGTTGCGTGATCGCCGTAAAGATCAAGCATTACGCCTTCCCCTTTCGTCTGGTTTGTTTCCGGGGCCAACTTTATTAATGGCTTGCAGGAAATCTGCATCCCGTCAGGCACGTCCTGATTTCTATGGGTGACGGTAATCTTTTAACATCAGGTGAACCGCACGCGTGCTTGCCAACTCTTCACATAAAAAACACGATATAACTTTCTTTCGCACTTTACACGCACGATTTATTGATGGAAATCGTTGTTTAATTACTGCACAACAAATCAAACCTGCGGTATCTTCAAATCCTCGCATATTAATTCAACGCACGGAATGAAGTAATCGTTGCAAATAATCGCCAAAAGTGTGAAAGCATAAATTCCGAATAGCACGTATAACATAAACGCTCCATTCCGAAGTTGCTCATCTGTAAACATTAAAAGTTATAACTTTTCTTTTGAGGTTGTTCTTTTAAAAGCCAACTGGTACCGTTTCTGATTATCCAACACTCACTAAAAATAAATATAATGTAAAGCAAAATTCATACACGTCCGTAAGTATATCTCAGTTCGCAAAATCATTTAAAAGACAAAACATTTTCATAGATCTAGCGACTTTCATTTAATTGTAAGAACGTGTCGAAAAATAAAATAAGGTCCTGGACTGGACTACTTGACCGGCTAAGCCGTTGGTTGGATTCAACTTTTCACCATTCATTAGGTACTAACGAAGAATATTGTAGTAGGTACTTTTTCTCTTGGAATTTTAAAGGGATATATATAGATAGATACATGAGGAAGACATAAAAACTTTTTGAAAGTAAAATATCAAATAAAATATGTTGTGTCCCCGCAAAACAAGATATCATGTATTATCAAACATATGTAACCTTCGTATGTCTTAGTCACCTGTAAATATGTCGTCCGGGAAACTGTCGATGGAATCGCCGCCGATGCAGTCCACCTCCTTGACAACATTCTCCATTATCTCGGTTCTTGTGCGCAGCCAGGGAGTCCAGTGCCATGTCTCCCACTCTTCGTCGAGTTTCCTCATTAGCTCCTCTGTGATGTACACCGTCTCTCCATTGTTATTGACTATTGGCACGTAAACCGCGCCACCAGTCGAATCTGAACGAAGATACAGATAATGAGGTAATTTCGCTTCACGCAACCTCGAACCGTAAATGCACTCAGCATTAGGTCCAATCTTCTAGTAGAGCGCTTCGGATGGACTCAGATGATTTTGGCGTTCGTTAAACAACGAGATAGTTACAAAATCTAGATCGAATGGTTTATTGATTGATTAACCTCACTTTTCTTATTTTCTATTCACCTAAACGCGTTTCTAACGCCTGCATTTTGTCCACAAGCCCGTTAGTAGTGTAATCATTGTGGCACACAAATAACTTATCATGTGTGCTCTTATTGTGCGAACATCGATTTTTTTTGTCACTGCTTTACTTTTCGCATACAGTTTGCGATAAGTTACAGGTGTGACACCATTAGCATTTCTAAGGGTCTATAATAATGTTATGATTTTCATTGACATATTGCCGTTAAACTTAGAAATTACGTTTATGTAAATTTTTCTAATTCATATAAGCTACAATAATCCTGTAACTGGACCAACCAAAAGTAATTACAAAGTACAAAAATAGTCGTATTTCAATTATTGAAATGTATATGTTAAGGTAAAAGTAATAAACTGGTGATTAATTATAATAACCTGTGACTATGCATAATCACCACAAAATTTGATAAATATGATAAATGTATCAAATTTGCCTGCCTGTTTACATAATTTGAAGATGTGGTAGATGAAGAAAACTCATAATGGTAGATGTGATAAATATCATGACTGATTTGGCCAGATGAATAGAATACAGTTTTTTTTTGTGTAGTTACTACTTGGAAAAAAATTTTTGTTGGACACTATGGCGTTAGAGGAAATGAAAAACAAATTTTATATTATACACTAAAAACTCAATAAATGTTTATTTTAAGTCACATATAAATAAATATTTTAGGACACACTTTCACACAACCTTCTCTAGTCCCAAACTAAGCAACGCTTGTACTATGGGTATCTAGTACCGTATGGGTAGTAAGTAATAAATATATTTAAATATTTCTTACTTTCCATACTTTTCTTTTGTAAATAAATACATATTATACATATATAAACACCCAGATACGAGAAAAAACACTATGTTCATCACACAATACTTTTCAAGTAGTGGGGATCGAACCCACACACTCAGACGCAGGAAACAGATACACTACGCCATTCGGGTCGTCATCGTCGACACATAATATTAATTATTTAGCCTGAATGAATTCGAATGAGGGAGTGGCTGGTGTTGTGAAATGAAAAAAAAATACAATTTACATGAACTTTTACAAAGTACTTGCACGTAGAAAAACAAATTACAGTTACAAAACAAACTTAGTAAGCCAATTTTGTAGAGAAAAAAAAACATTTTTTCGAAGACATACGATGTAATGGAAGTAGGCAATGTTGAAAAACTACCCGTTACTGCGTTAGCGCCACGCAACGTTCAGGTCCGTCCGGGTAAGAACCACGACCTCACAGAAGACCGACGTGTAGTGGAAGTGTTATACTGTGTGAGTGAGGTAGCCGGGACCCAGTTTATTAAAAGGTGGCAACGCATCTCCAACCCTACGGGTGTTGCGTATGTCAATGGACGGCGGTTATTACTTAACATCAGGTGAACCGCCAGCTACCTTGCCACCTTCTCACATATAAAAAGAAACAAAACAAAACATGTACAAGGTCTTAATGCCGTCAGCATTTCTATCATTCAACCTTTTCTTAGCATCCATAATATTAACTCATTTCGAATCAAAACGCTCAAACGTACCAGCCATTATTGAAAAAAATTCAAAATTCTCATATTTTACCGAGCGAATAAAGGTCTAGGCTCAACGAAATGAGGATTTTCTTAAAGCTACGAACTTTTTAACACATTTACCATTACGAGTTGGGAATCAAGCAAATAAACTTGTTAATTTGATAATTTTTCAAAATTTTATGATACTTACCAATTTTAGTGGTGATTATGCATAATAATCATATAAATATACGAGTATAATAAAACGTAAACGCAAAGTGTATTTGATTGGATAATACAAAACTGTTTTTAATTTGCGGTCGGGACTGCTGATATGCTATTTTAAACAACTCTTTGACTGAGGCAGTCAAAGAGTTGAAGAACTGAAGATAATTGGGACTTCAGCCGTTAACAGTCACACTCGGTCAGTTAACCTTTTTGGAGAATATTTATTGTCTTGTATTATACAGTGAAATATATTAATTATTTTTTATAATATAAAGACCCGACTGACGTAGTGGATTGTGGACCTGTCTATTGCGTCATAGGATGAGGGTTCGATCCCCACTATTAGAAAAATATCGTGTGATTAACGTAGTTTGGTGTTTACTGTTTATTTGTCTATAATATTTTATTTACAAAATAAAAGTATGTTTAAGTTTGCTTATCATTTGCCTAGAATCCATAGTATAAGCTTTGCTTAGCTTGAGATATCTTTGTGTAAATATGTCCTGAAATATTTATTTACTTTAATATTATTTATTAATAATAAATAAATTGGCATATCGCCAAGCGGCTCACATGATACTAGAGGAACCAAAAACCGAAATTGACGAATTCCAATTGTACCAATCTTTTTTCTTGGCTATCTTCTTTAAGAACTATCGCAAAATTTATATAATACTTCAAATTGTTGCCATGTAGTATGAACATCAAACATTAACAAACTATTAAATATGAATTTGTTGCTGGTCATCTAATGTGTCAATTTCGAAATTCAAGTACTTGTCGGGTTATTTTATTTTTATTTAGATTAATACCTACCGCAGCCTTCATTAAAATATTGATTTACGTCATGAGTTTAATTAAAGATTAATTGAATTGAGAAGAATTGATAGATGTGATTGATTTATTTTTAAAGGTTGACAGCGTTTGAATAAATATAGATATGGTCTTACTGAAAGTGTCAATAGCATCAGCGGTAGAACTATAAAATAGTAAAACAGCGAACATAACCAAGGTGCCCATTCGGCGCATTTTAAATGCCCTCACAAGCGGATCGAGTCAACGGATCTGAAAAAAAAATCGTCATGAGTTAATGAACATTTTCAATCAAACATTTATCAGATACGAGAGAAACGATAACCATGCACGAGTATGCAAAGACTAAGCTAGTAGAAGAAGATTTCTCCATACTACCTACTTCTATATAAGAAGATGGCATAGAAGAATATAGTAAAGTTGAATAAATTTTTCGAAACGGAAAGAGTTTAAAATTTTAAACAATTTCCAACCTGTAGATTTTCCTACATCTATAAAGTACCAGGTCATTATCAGTTACTTTATTATGTCAGATATTTTATTATTGTACTTAAACTCTCTACATACCTATTAACATTCTTTACATGACATTATTTCTAAGGGCTTATTAAAATGTCCGCATTTTATAACATCTAGGCAAAACACATAAATGTAATTATAAGTTACTATATAAGCGGAATTCACAAATATTCCAAATTTAAATTTTTTATAGTCCTAATCTCTGTACTTTAAGATTAAACTTAAAAATTTGTAGAAAAAGTACGAAAAGATTGTCGCCGCTATGGGAATCGAACCCACGTCTTCGGTATTCGCGGCCTGACGATTTAGCCACTAAACTAATATTTACTGATTGATTTAAATTTATTATACCCGTTCCAAATTTAAAATTGTATTTGTTAAATGTAAACTCTCATTTTAATTAACATAGGTATTTTCATTAGAAAGAAAATATAACAAATCTTTAATAACCTCAATATAATTACACACATTTCTTATAACAAAGTAATCGCCATGATAATTCGCACAATATCAAAGATAATTTGCATAGTATCAAAAATAGATATGCCTAACATTAGCTACACATATTTAAATAAAAACTTTACGTTTGCATTCGTTTTGATATTTTTTCTACAAATTTCTACGCGATGATTTATTATTATATTTATTAATAAACAATTATCTTAAATTTATTATATAATTAAAATATAATATTTCTGTTGTAAAATGTGCCAAATCAGACTTGAACTAGTTACTACTAAATTTTCTCGCTAAAACGCATTCCATAATTAGTTTTTATTTAGTGTGAAAAAGTGGCAAAAGAACTGGCGGTTCACCTGGTGTTAAGTAATAACCACTGCCCATAGACATTTGCAACACCCGTAGGGTTGCAAATGCGTTGTCACCTTTAAATAAAGTGGGCCCCGGCTACCTCACTCACCGCACCAAACGCAGAAGATTTTAAATCGAAAAAACAACTTTACTTTACGCCGGTCTTCTGTGAGGTCGTGGTAATTACCCGGACGGACCTGTCCATTCGTACAACAGTGAAAACTGTCGGGTGGCCCTACCACAGTTAAAGCTACTAATTAAGTTTTAACTGATGTAGGAATGCTCCGCCCACAACATGCATAAACACAATTTTTAGGACAAGACGGCATTATATGAGCATAAGCCAAACAATCGCGTACAACACTCGAGATTTTTTTTTACTGTAATAACAATGCAACCGAATAACCGATGCACAATAACAAGCGGAGTACATAATAATCTCGAGCACTCTCCTCAAGGCCTATTCCTTGTTCCCCATCGAACAGAAAGAACCACGCGGCAAAGTTTACGTTTGCAACAAAACTCAATGAACTACGCACAGCCGTCACATCACTTAAATACTTACTTCGCACCGAAGATACAGGCATCGGCGAGTCGATCAGCGAAAACGGTTCAAACTGGGTCAATCAATCAGAGCAATTCAAATATAGAACATCGTAGACAACTAATGAAACGAATAAATTGTGCGCAACGCCTCCCGTCCGCAATGTTCACGGATCTCATAGTCAACACTGAATGTGAGATACGAACGGCCTGCGTTTTTAAATGATAATCTTAATTGATAAGGCACCTTCGTAACGATTAGTCGCTTCAATTATTATTCTCGTACCTATCTATACACGTTCGGCATCCGTCGATTTCGTGATTCGAACAATAAGTCGCCTCGACTAACGCCCCGCTTTCATTCAACCGCAAATGCTTTTAAAACTGTTTGGGGTTTAGCTGATAGAAATCTATACGCAAATCGCGGCCGTACTTGGCTAATCTATCAGTGTAGTACTCTCTCTATAGGCAAAACTGAAATGTAGAAACGACCTGTGAAGGATGACTGTCACAGGCTGTATTATGATATCGATGAGGAAATCATTAAAACATAAAGGAGAAAGCTGGAATACATGACATTTACACATTTGCAGCCAACATTTAAAATTGAAATTACTAAATTCCCACGGTTGGCCACAAGGGCCTATTAATCATGTTTGTAGTAAACCGTATATGCGCACGTTTTCTAATCTACCAAATTACTTTACAAGCGATCGTTTTAAAACTCTACAACGGCAAAAACTTTTGCCGAATTATATTCATACAGTAACAGTCATAAAATATAAAGAATTATACTAAGAATTAAAGCACGAAAATTATTTTACGGGCGCGAGGAGAAATAGTGGCAGGTGCAATACATAAATTACATTACAATATGGATTCGTGAAGAAAAACAATGCTAAAATCCCAAACGTTGTATATCAACCCCGGGCGCGAGGCGAAATAGTGGCAGGTGCAATACATCCAAATGAAGAAAAAAACAATTTATTACATATTATGTATTATTATAATATTATTATATAAATACATACATATGAAGATGTATATTTAAAATAATTTGAAATAACTACACGAGTTTGAATGAGGCCTTGTTAGGCGCTCTCCTTATATAGGTATGTCTTCCGGCAAGGAATTTCAAAAGTACCTGTAAGGTGAAAGAATTACCGTAGAATGTAGAAATATTTTGAAGAATTCTCATTTTCTTTATAGATGAAGATCGGATCTTTCAATATATAACAAAAGGTATTGAAAATTATCTTTAAAATATAACGGACAAGCTGGAACATTTTAAATCGAAAAAACAACAAGTATAATTCTAGAGTTACGCCTTTTTGCACAGTATGCCCTTTAAGCTGAGTGCGATATTGGGAGATGTGATCATATTTTCTAAGATTGTAGATACATCTTATACAATTATTGAAAAGGCACCAAATACTTTACAACTGATATGGGTTATTTGTGGTCCGCAATTCTAGAGTTCAAGTTCTAGATAAGGGAATTATTTTATTGTTGTTATATATTGGATACATGGCAGGCTGTCAGTGTCAATTTTAGCTAACAATCTAGCACTTCAAACTAACATGGCTTGACATTTTGAAGGGTTGACAGTTACACCTAAACGCAATGAACACACATATGCTATATCAATTTAGATTTAAAGTAGCAATCGCATTGCTTATACTAACAACCTCAGATTGGGTGAAGATTTGCAATTCGTCGGCATGCAGATGGTACGTGCAATCAATACAAGACGTGATAGAGTTAATAGGAGAAAGTATACCGCCTTGTGGCAACCCAATATTAAGATCAGCCCACTGAGAGTACTCTTGCATCACAGGGATAGATCACTAACGCCCGCGTAGATAGGAAGAAAATCAATCTAAGACTGGGGTCACTTCGTGGTCAACTGTGTTAGAAGCATTAGAAAAGTCGACAAGAATCATAACTTTCACTTTTTTAACATCCATTCCTAGTATTATATCGTCAGTGATTTTAAGTTACGCAGTTGTGGTGCTACGGACGAAACCCAGACTGAAAAGGAGTCGGTCGTTTATTTTTATGAATAAATATAGATTGCTTATGAAAACAGGCTGCCAGAACTTTAGATAGGAAAGGCAAAATTGAGATAAAAAGATAGGGTTAATAAAAAAAAATAGTGTTAATAGCAATAAAATAACTCAGACATACGTCAAAAAACATATGCAGTTTCTTATTTCAGAAATAAAATTCATTCTAACGATCCCTTAATTCATTAAGCTAACCGTCTGAACATACTTCACAAAGTATGAAATTAGATTAAAAATATTAGCAGACAAGGCATACTCAAAACATACTTATTTTTCTTTACAATATAAGAAGCATTACATCTATAATAAGCATTTATTTTTAGAATATAAAAAGCAAGTCTTTTTACTTTTTTGTAGCTCCTTTCTCACTTACCAAATGTTTAGAGAAACTTTCTACGTGTTTTAGATGAGTGATCTTCTTGTATGGAATGCGCCTAAAGCATAATCACAGTTGCAATACTAGAATCTGCCTATTATATGTACCGTTGTCAATCCATAGTGAACCCTAGATTACAAACTTTCGTCGATACGACGACGCAGATATAAAAAAATAGAGTTCACTTCAACGCGCGTGATCGCATTTCTTTTATATTGTAGCTAATCTTAGATGACCCATTACCCTGATGATGGACGGTACTGCTTAGAGTACGTAATGATCCTGGGTGCACCGTTACAGCAACCATGGCTCGTCGAGTCGACGAAGGTTAGTGTAAACGTTATATTTTTAACTATTTTTTTTTGACATTTATAATCAAAGCTATAGCTTATAATGTTTTTACTAAGCTGTAAAAAATAAATACGTCTTATTTATTTTTTACAGCTTAGTAAAAACATTAATATGATTGATCTAATATTTACAAGATTAAATCTATCTAAAATTATATATTATCTAATAAGCCTAATCCACGCGGCATGGTGCCAAGAAATGAAACTCCGTGGGGTCCCCGCACGTTTTTTAAAAAGTTTATGTCCTAGGCTTAACGCCGCGGCTGGTGATAAGAGAGCTGGTCCTTTTATCGCTCAAAGGTTAAGCGTTCTAACGGTGGTAGGGCCACGCAGCAGCCTCGGCTGTTGCACGAAGGAGCAACCTCGTCCGGGTAAGTACCACGACCTCACAGAAGATCGGCGTAAAGTGGAAGTATAATACATTTCGTCGGGTGAGTGAGGTGGCAGGAGCCCAATTTCCAAAAGGTTGTGAATACATCTGGAACCCTCCAATGTAGCGAGTGTCCATGGGCGGCGGTATTCACTTAACATCAGGTGAACCGT